TGCATATTAAATGTTTCTTTGTTGTTTTGATACCGGCTTCTTTGCCTATGCAATTGACTTCGATCAAAATATTGAATGGGATAAATTTTGAGGGCTAAAATGAATCTCTGGACTTATATATGACAATTACTAATATGGACACTTGAAATAGTAAAATTTCAAATTCTCCCAAAAAAGTAAAATTTGAAATTTCTCATATATTTTTTTTCTTATTTAACTTATACATTTTATCTTATCACTTATTTCTTCAAGTTTTTAATTATTGAATATTTAAAAATATTTTTAAAATTATTAAATATTATCTAATATTAAATTTTCAAATTATTAAATAATTAAAAAATTACCTAATATTTATTTTTATAAAATTCAATTTAAAAATCTTAACATATAAATATATTTTTAAAATCAATTATATCATGATGGAATCAAATTATTATATCCAATCTAATAACTTCAAATTTAAGAAATTTTAAATTGATTTATCCAAACAAAATATTTTAAGAATGATAGAAATTGAAATTAAAGTCACTCAAATACCAAGAATTTAAAATTCCTTGAATTTATAAAATTTCTCATCCAAACACAACATAAAATTTTCTCTCAATATATAGTATTAATGCATAATTCCACAAGAAATACTATAAGTAAGGACATGACAAGAATAATGGTCCATAAACACTTAACAATCAACATAAGATGCAGGAGGAGAAAGTTACCATGGGTCTTCTAATGTTGCTTGTTCCAGTCTTTTGCCTGGTGGTAACAACACCAGGTGAAAGTCGGTATGCAGGAGCGGGTGACTGCGACAACCCTTTTGGTACAGATTTCCTCCTACCATGTATAAACTATTTGTACATTAGAAGCACACTGCCAACACCAATATCTACATCTGATCCGTGCTGCGTAGGAGCATCATCGGTGTTTGGCAGGGTCGGTGTCCCTCAACGTGCGATGGTGTACTGTATTTGTCTCAAGTTGTTTACACCACTTTACCATTTTGATCCTGAAAAACTGGCACGGCTTCCTCATGACTGCAACTTTACCTATAATTATACTATTGACCCAAGGAAGAGTTGTTTCCGCCCGTAAGCCCCTCTCTATGTATCTCATGTACACACGTTTAACAATTCGTGACGCAGTTTATTATAATGATACTGTTTTGCTCATGTGCAGGATTCCGTGATGCTTCAAGAAAGATTTACATGAAAGCACAAATAAACTCGGCTATAGAGATAAATATGTACGGAAAACACAGGAGATATAATAAAAAAGCCATGATTTTTCACTTTTCTATCGATTGCAATAGTAGACTAATCTCTTCCGATCTCCTTCTTTCC